CAAAAGAAAGAGGTAGTTAACAAGGAGTATAAATACGAGCAACCAACAAAAATTATGCAGAACGAAAAATGACACTGAAGATGGCACAACGCCGAAACCGGTTTGTCTCCAAACCAAATTTGACAAGGGATGACGGAAATTCGTTCCATAATACATGATATCTCATTTATTTAAATTGGATAAAAATGTTCGAATTTAAAGCTTAAACAGACGGCAGCATTCATACGGATTAACTCGGACTTAATCCGAATCAATTGCAGTTAATTCCCGAGTTAATCCGGATCAACGTTGCCATCTGTTTATGATTTTAGGCTTGTATTGGGCTTTCAGATCTTTTGCACAGAATTCTTTAATATTTACTCTAAATTTTATGTTCAAAATGGCTTTTAAACAAAAACTTGGTTTTTAATGAATTTTTAGGAAATTGGCGTATTGGCAATTAATTGTATAAACAATATAAGAAAAATTTGCAACTAGTTTATACTGCATGAAATTATTAATGACCCGTGCCTTTACTAGTGACATACAATTTGTATAAAAAGTGTAATTTTTCAGAAAATTATTCCTTTAAAATAAAAACAAAAAAAAAAATCAATTGTATTGTCCTTTTTTCAAAAATCAGCTGACAACGATATATAAGGAGTTTCATCGGATTTTACTTAAAATAATGAAAATTCAAATCGGGTAAAAATTGAGATCCGTTGACTGGAGAATAGTTATATTAACAAGCACAGTTACCTTCAGGATCGACTAAATAGAAGGATTTTCAAAGGGACCCGGATACTCACCTTAAATTTGGTTGGAAAATAAAAATTATAATATAAGCGCATATTTAGGTACACATGCAAATCTAGTAAGGTCATTTCCGTACTAGTCAAAACAACTGCCAATCTGACCCGGTGTGAAAGGTATCCCCCATATTCCGAAGTCAAAAATCAATAGAAGACGAGTTTCTTCCATCCAGAATTGTATGTAAAAAGCACTGAACAAGATTTTTGTTGACGACGTGTTATACTCTGTCGTAAAGATATTCAATTCACTAATTTCAGCTACTATATTTCACTCCTTTTTTGATTTTTTAGAATAAAAAAGTTCAAAAGTTACAACAGCAAAACGTAGGATAATACTATCCACTAAATAGACTGAGGAGCAAAAATAAAATCACAACTTCGACGCAATACTTCACTGCCTTGTAAAAATAATGCCGACGGTAGTGAAATGGCCACCAGTTGCCGTGAAATAAAATAATAAAGACAACAATTTTCTAGGCCATTTGCAGCACTAAGGGAGAAAAAAAAATCTTAGCATAAAAATCAGGCCAAATATTGCAAACAATAAAAGAGCAAACAAAACAAAACAACAAATAAATCTATAAAAGTCACAAAAAATGCAAAATCCTAAAAAATGTTAGCCTAGCCGCAAGTATTGCCAACGCAGTCAAATAAAATCCCCACACACTCGCACACAAATAAATATTAACTTCGTGCACACAAATCGNAAAATGTTAGCCTAGCCGCAAGTATTGCCAACGCAGTCAAATAAAATCCCTCGCACACACTCGCACACAAATAAATATTAACTTCGTGCACACAAATCAATTTGACGTGATTTAGAAAAAATACCGTTAGTCACTTCCGGCCAACCACCCAACCACGCAACCATCCTTATACATATGTATGTATGTATGTATGCATGCAGACGCCCAGCCAGGCATGTCGCCAATTTCTATGTTCTATTTGACATTTGCGCTTAGATTGGCCGTCAAAATGGACTAGCGTGGCAATTGAATTTTTATTTGCACCACTTCGTTGCTGTTGTTGTTGCTGGCAAACTGGTAGTCGGTTCACATTTGTTTTTTTTTATGTTTTTTTTTCGAAATACATATTTTATTCNCTGTTGTTGTTGCTGGCAAACTGGTAGTCGGTTCACATTTGTTTTTTTTTTATGTTTTTTTTTTCGAAATACATATTTTATTAGAATTTTTTCACACATTTAGAATTTTTTTAACGGCGGCGCGCCACTTTCTAGGTTATCGACATTTGTTTACATACTTTTAGGCTTTTGGACTGTGTGAATTTCACTTTTGAGCACATTTTTTTAGGGAGCTTTGTTTGATTGTAGATTTTTTGTTTAAAATTTTCTTTTTATATTTTAGTAATAGAAATTTAATAGCAGCGACTAGCCCAGGCAGCAAAGGGAGAACAGAAGAAGAAGCATAAAACACAGCGGCTGCAGAAAATGCCGGCGGCTAGTTTTTCTACATATTCCATTTTTACGGCATAGAAATTGAGTTTGAAAAAATTAGTTGCGCCAGTTACGTTAATTTAGTTTACAGAATTGTTGACTGTGAGAGGGGAAAAACAAATGTTCTTATAAAGATAGAAAGTGTAATTTTTTATGAAAAATTGTTTTTTTTTTCTTTTTCTTTTGTTGGCGTTATATGGAGGAAAGTTGGAATTATCGATGAGAGTATTTCGCAAAGCAATTATATTGAGGATATTTGCGTATTAATAGCTTAAATGCTTTGGAGGTCATGTCAATCCATAATCTAGTGTACNGTATTGTCGTATGTTGTAAAGTTTTTAACGGCTAAATAAAAGTTTAGAGGACTTGAAATCACCACCAACTATTTTCTAACGGTGTGAAATTTCATAATAAAACTTTTATGTTAGCTTGCGAATTCCTTAAATATAGTTTTAGCCGTTTAAAGTTTATGACATACAACAGTACGACAGTCTACAACACCTTGTGAACTCCCTAAATATTTACTTAAAATTTTTTATTCAATCAGTTTTGCGCTAGTAAAAAACGCCTCGGATTTTCAGCCAACTATTCAATTTTCTTTTTTTTACCTTCCAGCGGTTTCTTTTAGTCGGGAAAGTCTTTTCTCTCCTTATTGTCGTNAAAAAACGCCTCGGATTTTCAGCCAACTATTCAATTTTCTTTTTTTTACCTTCCAGCGGTTTCTTTTAGTCTGGAAAGTCTTTTCTCTCCTTATTGTCGTTTTTATCGGCATGCAGTTACTATACTATAGTCAATCCTCACTCCCCAATCAACCATGTGCGAGATGCGTTAACCAAATCGTGTGAAACCGTGCTCCACGCCAGAAGGAGAGGAGGCTTTGGTGGCGCTACTCGGCCTTATTCGGTTTGAGGCNTATGTTGTAAAGTTTTTAACGGCTAAATAAAAGTTTAGAGGACTTGAAATCACCACCAACTATTTTCTAACGGTGTGAAATTTCATAATAAAACATTTATGTTAGCTTGCGAATTCCTTAAATATAGTTTTAGCCGTTTAAAGTTTATGACATACAACAGTACGACAGTCTACAACACCTTGTGAACTCCCTAAATATTTACTTAAAATTTTTTATTCAATCAGTTTTGCGCTAGTAAAAAACGCCTCGGATTTTCAGCCAACTATTCAATTTTCTTTTTTTTACCTTCCAGCGGTTTCTTTTAGTCTGGAAAGTCTTTTCTCTCCTTATTGTCGTTTTTATCGGCATGCAGTTACTATACTATAGTCAATCCTCACTCCCCAATCAACCATGTGCGAGATGCGTTAACCAAATCGTGTGAAACCGTGCTCCACGCCAGAAGGAGAGGAAGCTTTGATGGCGCTACTCGGCCTTATTCGGTTTGAGGGCTCACTAAAGTCAGCAACATCAGCTTTAGATTCGGCTACTAGCAGGCGTTTATTGTATTACTATATAAATTAGCATCTTCAAAAACTCTCTCAGCAATAGGTTGTGCATCCGTAAATACTTTTGAAAAAAAAATAAAAATTGAGATAGGGTTTTTCTATACTAAGCCAACGATATAAATTATAAATTCTTAGTCCTAACAAAAATGGTGAATTTTTTNTGGCGCTACTCGGCCTTATTCGGTTTGAGGCCTCACTAAAGTCAGCAACATCAGCTTTAGATTCGGCTACTAGCAGGCGTTTATTGTATTACTATATAAATTAGCATCTTCAAAAACTCTCTCAGCAATAGGTTGTGCATCCGTAAATACTTTTGAAAAAAAAAAATAAAAATTGAGATAGGGTTTTTCTATACTAAGCCAACGATATAAATTATAAATTCTTAGTCCTAACAAAAATGGTGAATTTTTTTTGAAATTTGGTTACGTAATCGGAGCGACACAGGTGAATATAACATTTTTTTTTGGCTCCAAAACCTCTTATTAAAATACAATAATCGGTTGAAATAAAATTTTCTGACGTTCGTGAAAGGTGTGAAGCCGTCGGCATAGCTGAAGAGAGCCCTGCGTTTTTCAATAATTTTTTTTTCATAAAATTTATCAACTTCGCAACAAATTTTTATCCTCCTCGAACTTAATGCCAGCAAGAGAACGGTTCATGTGGTCCAAAGTTATTCGGTAACACACATAAAAAGAAGAAGAAAAAAATATTCCTAGGAATTGATAACCTCCACCTTTTTTGAATGGGGTTAAAAATGCGTTCAGTAGTTGCAGTGCATAGATTTATGTACTATATATATACATATTTCCTCAAAAACCATTTTAAACATTACAGCTTCTTTTTCTCTCTCTTTCTATATTTTTCGTTTTTTTTTTTCTATTCTCTATCGCTGCTGGCTTTTACTGGTCAAGTGTGGACAACATGGCAAAGAAATAGCCGATTATAATGGTTGGCCTTCGACAGCAGCCACGCGCAGCCATATGTCGGCCATCAAACAAGGATATGAGGTACTTACCAATTAAAATAATTAGTTAATTAATAAACGTACATAGTATAAAGCTCAGCCTTCTAATAAACCAGCTCCTACACATAAGTATGTATATACATATGTGTACGATATACATATACAGCTGAGAAATTATGTTGGCTGGTAAGTGTAAACGCTGAAAAAAACAAAGCCAATGCTGATAAAAAAAAAGAGAAAAATTTGCTGCTCGTAAAATTTGCTTATACCCCTTTCAGGCACACAGGGGGGTGCGACGAATGTACTCTTGACGTGTTTGAAAGGGGTCTTAATGTTTGATCGAGCTTTTCCTTCCATTTATGATGCAACTCTTGACGTTGTCACACTGCGACAAGCAGTTACTTATACAATTTTCTTATATTTTATTTATTAGATCTTAACTACTTACTTAGTAAAAATGTAAATAAGTAAATATGTACTCCTAAAGTCGCTCTTGTGCCACATAAATCATCCACACAATGGCGGATGCCATTACATTTCCCATCTAAATCAATGCATCCACCATAGCCGCATTGAAATTTATCATTTGAGCATGGTTTCACATCGGTACAGATTCCGAAAAATTCATCTTTGCCATCCCAACAGTCGATTTTCTGGTCACACTGCTTTTCTTCGGGTATACAACCACCATAAGAGCATTAAAAATCGGTGCATAATTTGTTAATAAAATTTTTCTCCAACTCATCCGAACCATCTGGACAATCCTTAGAACCATTACACCCAAGAATGATAGAATACAAGATTGCGCCGATTGCAGCAGAATTCGTGAGAGTAATTTTAGCGTGACGTCAGCGTAGAGTTGACAACTGAGAGCGGCGAGAATGAGGGCGACTAGTGATGTGTTGAATTGTCCCCAATACTCGGTACCCAATACTTATTACCCGATACCGATTATTTACATTAAACCCTCGCCATTATATGCATTTCAGGTTTAGAAAAAACGTTCATTACTAATTTATTTGATATCGGCTAAAACACTTGAACTTAGTCGATCCAAGGTTCAAGAAAAATACTTTGACGGATGGAGAAGCCTTTCACGGGAGAGATTCTGTAGCCAGTTAGCGACAAGTTTCGGATCGATATCGCACTTGTTGACTTACAAATATTTGATATCAAACGTCGACGAAACCGATACCGATTCGAAAATTGTCGTTAACTGGTTACAGAATCTGTCCCAGGCCTACAAAAATGATATCGTCCGATTCAGCTGGAACAAAAATGCTTCAAACAAGTAAGGGTTTCTCTGTATTATGGCATCGAACGGACATATATAAATCTTTCATTTGAATCAGTAAAAAAGCTCTATTGGCTCTTACATTCGGGTTTTGTTAGGCGTTTTTTCCATATTTTTGGCCTATGTGCGCTTCTATTCGAAACCTAAATGTTTCGGTACCGAGTATCGAGAGTATTGGGTACTTAAAAGTATTGACTCAGCACATCACTACTGCTGTCTTCTCTACTATGACGTCACCAAAACAGCTGATTCTGTCAAAATCACTGAGAGCCGAGTAGCGGTATCGTCATCGGCGCCACCTCTGTATTCTCTCCACCGTACATTACACCATTGTCTATCGTCGATGAGAGTACCGTCATCACATTTCGCCTTAGTGTGCGTGTGCAGTCCAATCGCAACTTAAAAAAAAATAAACAAAATTATTAAAAACCTTTGTAATGGAAATTTGTTTGACAGCGCATTTACTTTAATTACTTAATTATTATGATTAAAATATTGTTTATTAGTAAATATTCATATCTAGAAAATTTCGAGCCTCAAAATACATTATAATAGATTCTTAGTCGAAATCTTTGCGAGGTGTTTGGGCCAAGCATTTCAAAAGATTTTTGTTTGTTAGAGTACTGCTATGAAAAACTTTCCACTTGAGGAAAACCACGCTATTTACCACAATCACTTTGTCTTTGTATGACCATTAGACAGCTTCATATTCCATACAAACAAAAACTAGGTCTCCTTCCCAAAGGGATTTATAAAACTTTATCAATTTCCTACCTCCCTCTAAAATATTTCGAATAACTTCAATAAAATTTATGAGCGGCAACGTAATGAAAATACTAAAAAAAATTATAGTTTTCTGGAAAGAAATAGTGTACGAGTTGTTATGTATGAACATTGGGGTGGTCCTTAAATGAAGGGAGCAAATTTTTTCATCAACTTTCCTAAGCCTCAACTCCTACGTCGATGCTATTATAGTCGAAGATATCACATACAAATTTTGGTCCCGATTGAATTCGGTTAAGGCGTGTCGCACAGGGGTCGAAGTTCAGATTAAACTATGACGGCGTCTTAGCCGACTCTAATAGGTACTAAAATTTATATTTGATATCCTCGAATTTAGTGGATAGTATCTGAATAACTCAGTGAGAGGGGAGACCGGTATGTTTGCATGTATGTATTTATATAAAAAAAAAAAAAATATTTATTGGTTCAAAAAATGGTGGGTAGGCACTGTGGCCAATGGCAAAGTTCGTTTGCCACCTCTCCATGGTTGTAAGTCATGCAGAGTCCGCAAAATGCTCCGGAAGCAGTGTCCGGAGGATGCATCCGACTAGGCAGAGCATACTTTGAAGTGCCATCTAATTAGAACTTAAGAAAGTTCAATTACATGGCAGTTGAGAAGTGCATGTGCAAAAATTTCCTAAATTGCATAAAGGAAATTTTTGCACATGCAGCAGTACATAGCATGTATTTAGGCGCCTGGTGTTAGCAGACGCGCCTAAACAGTATCGATTTTGGGCATTAAGCTGTTTTTTTTTTAATTTTTTGAGTCCCTAGAAGAATCTGAATTTTATCTCCCTATGCGACACGCCTTCACCGCCTCCAATGGCGACCAAAATTTATATGTGTTTTCTGTGACAGTGCTGTTACCGATTGAATCGGTGAGACCGAACAAAAATCGTTCATTTGACTTTTAGGACCACCCTAAGGAACATGCACATATCAAAACAAGTAAGAAAGTCTAAGTTCGGGCGGAGCCGAACATTAAATACCCGGCGCAAGTATTAAATATATGTTTTTTCACCCTTCCGAAACCTTCCGCTAGATGGTAAGCCGAGGTGTATCAATTTTGAGTAAATTAGCGTCCTTCAATTTCGAAATACTGAAGTTTCAAGCATTTCTTAAATTTACCGTTATATGAGAATCGGCCGTTATTTTAGTCCGATTTCAATAATTTTCAACGTTTTGCTTACACGTGGCAAGTACAATAACCATACCGAGTTTGGTACAAATTGGTAGAACGGTTACCGGTATACTTATATGTGATCATAAGTGGGCGGTGCCACGCCCAT